CCCCAAAACCCCAAAACCCCATAATGGCTATTATATTTAAGATCTTATGATTGTTATTTGATTGTTTTAAGAATTAAGAAGAAGCTATATTTATTAGGACATCTTCAATTCTCTGAGTAGAATGAATTTAGGTCCTTATCTTTTTTGCCAGTATCTCTTTTCATGGTTGTGCTCTTTACGAACTTCAATGAAGGAAGTTCAGATCCTTCTAGTAGTCCTTGATCAAGATACTCAATGTAGCCCTCCTTCTCATACTTGTCTCTAAGCTCCTTGATCTTTTTCATAATTCTCAGTTTCTTGCCTTGTGGCTTAAGATCAAGAGTGCTTTCGATTGTTCCATATTCAACCTTGAAGAATAGCTCGGGGTCATTCAAGTCTTGCTTCTGTAGCTTGTTGATACAGTCTGTAGCACCAAGATCAGTGAAGAACTTAGTCAAATCAAAGTCAATCTTAGACTTCTTCTTTTCATCTTCAACTGGCCCCTTATGAATAGCCTTCGAGATTTCGAGAGTTTTGGGGAATCTCTTGTTGAATATGATAGTGTCATATATCTTGTCCTTGATTTCCTAGGTTTTCTTGTGAGCATCAAAGATGTCACGAAGATGGAATCCAGTTAAAACACCCTCTGGAATGTAGTCAACGAGTTCGTCCAGCTGTCTTGGGTTTGAAATAAATATCTAGCCAATGGCTCTGATACCATGCTTTGAAAGATAGTTGAAACTGTCCTTAGTCTCTTGCTCACCAATAAGCATGTTCCAAAGTCTTCTCACAACGAGTTTATCAGTAATTTCAAATTCAGCAAATTGACCCTGATCAATTATGTAAATAAGGTCCTAGACTCTTCTAATCTTCTGCTTCTCGAAGTTTGGCTTAAGGCGGAGAAGGTTGAGTCTGTGTAGCCAATCATCAATCACCATTTCTTTAGTTACGACCTTTTCATCCAACATTAATTCTTTTGCATTGGCAACGCATTTTTCAACATCTTCTCTATACCTGAGCATGTGACCTTGTAGTTTTGCCATTGACAACTTACTAACTGGGAGTTAATTTGCGAATTGCACGGCTAAGTCCTCTGATTCTGGGAAGAATCTACAGAAGAGTCCTTTCATTTAGATATCCGAGGCATAATTAAGTTTCACATGAACATCAGCACGGCCTGGCCTCAACAAAGCTGGATCAAGTCTTTCCTTGTGGTTAGTAGTCATAAATAGGATTTAACCTTCTTGGGATCTAACACCATCTAGTGCGTTTAGGAAACCAGAGAATGAAAGCTTGTTGGTAGACATAGAGGTTCTATCTGTGAACATAGCGTCTATATCTTCAAGTAAAATGATTGATCTATCTGGGGCCTCTGATAATAGTCTATTTAAAGAATCATCATCTACCTCACCACTGGAAAGATTTAGATAGCAAAGATTCAACTTCAATTATCCAGCAATAGCCTGCACGAAAGATGTTTTACCAGTACCTGGCGGTCCGAATAATAAGTAGCCTCTTCTATAGGGGACTCCCTTGCTCATATACCATTCACCACTGTTTTGGAAGTCTCTGATATCGGTTTCAAGTTATGAGGCAATGTCACTGTCTAATACTACGGAGTCAAGAGTTCTTGCTTTTTTAGTCATGACCTTTACCCACATTGAAAGCCATCCGTAAGTCTGATAGATACCCAATAGTCCCTTATCTAAATCCATAGAGAAGACCACTGCATCATCAATAAGCTATTGGATAATTTCTGTTGAACCTCCATAGCACATAATGATAATTTTTTCTGAAGTCTATGGCTTATTTTCCCATCCAACTAGATTAATTTTTCCTTGCTCTTAAACTGCCCACATAGTTCTCCCTCTGTATTTGAAGTAATGAAGACCTGGAGCAGGGTAGTACTCGATCTTTGGCTTTTCTTTTGATGCCTTTGGTTAGAACCATTCACGCTTCTTTTTGACTATTCTTACAACTGAATCCGACATCTGATCTGCAAGATACCCTTTTTGAGTTAAAAACTGGAGCAGCCATTGATAAGTTGGGTCTAAATTCTCAATAACAACGGAGCAAATCATGCGGCGAGCAACGTACTCCTTAACCATGTTGATTATATAGTAGAACATCGTAGAGATTAGACCTCCAACACCCAAGGCGAAGATCAGAGAGACGAATTAACTGGAAAACAACATTGGAAATATCAATTATTAAGATATTAATTTCTTGCATCTTTTTATAGTCAAAATATATCAGGTAAGAATTCCATCTCTTCTCAGAAGTTCTTAATACATAAGTTTTTAATAGTTAACCTCACTAAATTGGAGATTTGATAGCTATGGGGTTTTGGGGTTTTGGGGTTTTGGGG